AGAGTTGATGTCTCAGTATGACTTTGGAGAAAAAAATAGTAATTTTCTTGATGAACTGATGGAACAGAAAAAGGCAATCTTTAAAGGTTTGAAGGCATGAAACGACATGATCAGTTTTGGGAATGACAATGTAGTGTGTTATTTAAAGGAGCAGAAAGCTATACAAGAATGGGAAAAGAAGCTAGGAAGTGTTGAATGTTGCTTAATGCTTTGTAGGATTTGGTGGTAGTACCTGCAGAAAGATAGATAAAAGAATAAACATAAACCTTTAGGTTTATAGGTTCTGTTTCTTAGATTTAAGTGAACCATATTCAAAAATAATTTCCTGATGAAAATTTTCTATAAGTTGCTGTAGTTACTTTTTTCTCATTCTTCAAGGGCCTTCAGCTGTAGTATGTATTGGTCAGAGTTCTTTAGAGAAACAGAACCAATAAGAAAATAAATAATAAAAGAAGTAATTTATTATAGGAATTTTCTCACATGATCACAAGACAGAAAAGTACCACAAAAGGCTGTCTGCAAGTTGGAGAAACAACTAAAAGACTCAGAAGCAGGGAGGCTGATGCAGTTCCAGTTCAAGGCCTAAGAGGGGCCCTTGAAAGGCTGCAGGGCTGAGCATCCTCAGGCTACCACAGTTAGAAGTCTAGAATTCAAAGGTTAAAGAAGTTGAAGTCTGCATGCTTAGCAGGACCCAAGTGTCAAGAGCAAATACAACCAAGGGTCAAATCAAGGTACAGGGATGAAGAAGACAGATGTGTAGGAGTGGAACAAAAAGCATGATTTGGAAATAAGGATTGAGACAGGGGAGGAGAGAACAAACAGAAACCTCATTTCCTTTCTTGTCCCTCACATGTTCCTAGCTAGCTGCATGGTGTTTGTCAATACTAAAGGTGGGTATTCCTCTCTCAGCCCTTGGCTCAGGTGCCAATTTTGTCTGGAAACACTCTCACAGACACATCTAGAAACAGTGTATCACTAGTCATCTAGTCATCCTTCACTTCAATCTAGTTGACATCCAAAACTAACCATCACATATTGATTTCCCAGTCTTCAAGATCACCAGATAACCTCTCTTCTTTGATCATTTTCTTTCCTTCTTTTTCTGTCCAGGGGGCAGGTGTGTTTACCAAAGAGAGAGAGATTGGAAAAAAGCACCCCTATGGTCATGCCATAATCCCTTCTCCTCCATTTCCCTATCCCATTGGGATTATGGACAATGCACACACATGTATGTGCCCAGTGTTATTTTTCAAGTCACTGGGACTGGGACTTAAACCATGCAGTTGGCCATGTAGGATCCAGCTCTTAGAACCACCAGGCCATGGACTAGCCTCTGTATTTTCTTTAAAGGATGTAATACTGCATGTATTTTTTAAATAACAAATAGAATTATAAGAATGAATCAAGTATAAAAAAAAGTTTGGAAATGCCTAAGAAACTGATTCCCAGTTAACATTTTTAAAATGTATTTATTTACTTCTTCTATGAACTATAGAAACAGAGAGAGAGAGAGAGAGACAACACCTTCAGCAGGGTCTTGATGCCACAGTCCACCCCAACTGAAGCCAGCCTTGGATCATGGGCACACATATGCCTGGCAGAATCAGGGAGATCTCTAGACACAAACCTGGAAGCTTCCTATGTTGGTTAGCCTTGCAAAGTGTTGCCTTAACTTGAAGACATTATGCTAACTGAAATAAGTCTTCTATAAGGAAAAAAATACTGTTATGATTCCACTTACATGATGTGCTTAGAATAATAAAAATCATGAAGACAGATATGGTTGCTAGAAGTTGAGGAGAGAAAGAAGTCGTTACTGTTTAATGGGTATAGTTTGAAATAAGTCATTACTGTTTAATGGGTATAGTTTTGGTTTTAGAAGACAAAAAGTTATAGAGATGGATGGCAATAGATGCCTAACATTATGAATGTATTTAATACCAATGAACTAGACATACAGAAATGAATAAGATGGTAATTTTTATGCTAGGTGTATTTTACCACAACAAAAATTTTTGAAAAAAAAATGTATACCATTTTTGCTAACTGTAATTCAGTGAAGAACTTCTGACTTGCTCAAAAAGTATGACAAAATGATCTTGGTGAATATAAAAGAATTACAAAGAAAGCTTCAATTTATAGCAATTCATATATCAAAAATCTTAACAAAAATTAACTAAATTTTTATAAAACCTTGTAACAATTATTTTGTGTTGTGAAATAAGAAGAACCTAATGGTAATAATTTTTAAGGAAAATAGACCACAGATACCTTGGAGGCACGAATCTGCCTGTGAACATCTGTAAGTTGTTGGATTTTGTATTCTAGCTCTGAAATCTGGGCTTGAAGCCAAGTCCATCGGCTCCCAACTCTTGCTCTGTCTACAAGCCACTTCCATTCAGTACTACAGTTACTGTGAACAAGACAAACACTGTTAGTCAAAGCACAAAGACAATCAAGTTTTCAGAGTCTGCTTCATAACTTCTTTGACTCTGTCATAAAATCCAATTTCCTTTACCTAATAACTAATCACATGAAGGAAGAATGGCAGATTGACTTCTTATCAAAGAAAAAGATTTAATTTCCTTACCTTTTCACACCACAAATATCAGTTTCTATTCAATATTGTCCAGTAGGAGGTTAATCCCTCTAGAGTTTATTCTTTATTAATGCAGAAGTGATTAAATGGGGCTGGGCCAGTGAAGGAAAGGAAACACCAACAACAATACTAACATAATGTAAAAATTGTTATAAAAAGCTTATAAGTAAGCAGATGTCAAATATTGGGTGAGTCATTCGAACTATGCTAGATCCGTTTAACAAACCATACCATACTCAGTTCTACTATATGCAATTTTCATTTGCTAAAACAGACATTGCTATTAGCTAATTAAATACTAAAAATCGATGTAAAGAACTGTCAAAAATTATCAAAAAATGAATGCTTTGCTGTATTTCAAATAAATATTGAAATATGTCTTAAAATGTTTATTGAAATTAATAGCTTATTAGAAATATGATTACCAGGGCCAGCAAGTATTGTGCCAGTTAAGGGCGCTGGATTTCCACACGGCCAACTGCAGTTCAAGAACTGGACTTGGCAGCTTGTTTTCTCACTTTCCCTTTCTCTCTTTCTGTCTCTCTCTGGTCAAATTTAAATAATAATAATAATAGTAACAAATAAAATTGAATAATAAATAAGCATGATTCCCAGGATTCACAACTCTCCTTAACATCATAAAGAACTGATTCAAAGTCTTTCTTTCACACATATTTCAAAATAAGGATTGAATCCTAGCTCTTCCTAGTTCCTTTATCTTTTGGCTAAAGGCATTACTCTAATCCATAGTCTATACCTACAGATTAGTTATTTTATGAAAATATTCCAACTACGCCAACTAGAAGAAAATTATGTGGGGTGATGAGTGATGTGCATGAGAGAGGGAGAGAGAGAATTAGGAAATGCAGATTGCCAAGGGAAAATATAGCAGAAATTGAAGATGTAACTGAAGGGCATTAACTACTTAATGGCAAACGTATGAACTTCGTTAAAACATGTTCAAAAAATACATTTGTTGGCAAACCCATAGAATGTACAGTATCAAAAGTGAACCTTAGTGAAAACTATGGACTTTGGCTGATAATGATGCTTTAATAAAATAGGCTGTCAGAAAGTCATGAAGTATTTTTCAGTTTTTTTAATGCAAAAATGCATCATGAATTTTCTAGCAACCTGATATATTCATCAATTGTAACAAATGCAACACTCTTATTTGTATATGTGTAGGGACAGGGAGTAAATAGAAACTCTCAGTTTTCTCTCAATTTTGCTGTGAATCTAAAATTACTCTAAAAATTAAAGTTTGGTCATTTTGTTTTTAGAGGTTTTTGCCTATAGGCATGTGCACTCACAAGGGAGAGAGAATAGGACTGCATGAAGGAAAGTGAGAAATCACCCCACAGGACGGAATGGCCATGCCACAGCAATGCCTTCTCCATTCTCCTCTCATGATCTTGGGCAAGCACGCACATGCACCCAGTGTGGTTTTTAAAGCCTCTGGTGTAAGACTTGAACTGCAGTCGGCCATGTGGGAGTTGAGCTAATGCTCACGGTGTAACCACTATGCCATCTACTGATCACTATAGTTTAGTTATTTAAAAAAAAATACATTTAACCATAATGGAACGTCTCTCATTCAAACTTTAGCCAAAGAAAACATTTATTTTAAGGGATCATTTGTTGTTAAATAAACACAACACAATTAGTCTAACATTGCTGAGTCAACTTATTTGTTACAACAGGATTTTATACTCTAGAAATGTTTCCAAAAGAAAATACTGTTTTTTTGCTTATTTGTTGTGTTTTTGCCATAAGGTAGTAAACTCACTAAAAAGAGACAAAGAGAGAGAAAGTGAGAAATCATCCCTCAGTGGGGATGGCCATGCCACAATCCCTTCTCTTCCATTCTCCAGGGAATTGGGGTACACACACACACACACACACACACACACACACACACACACACCTAGCATGATTTTCAAGCCACCAGGTCCAAGACTCAGCAATCAGCTGTGTGGGAGTTCAGTGCATTAGCCACTACACTACCTGCTGGCCCCCATTCAAAAGGTTGTTTTAATAAAAGATTCTTATTGCATACGATGTGACAAGATACGATATGAAATAGGATTTTTCTTAGCATTAGTTACACAGTTCATAGTCATTATAATTTCATAAATTTGACACTTAAAATCACATTCTAATTATCTACAGACAACATAAAAAGAATGCCTATTTAAAATATACTACTCATAGATAATATTTAATAACACTAAATGACAATAATAAAATTAGAGAGTAAGGCAAAGTATATATCATGCAGTAACTTCCACAGGTTAGGTTTAAGGCATTTAGATTTTAATGCAAAATAGTAAAAAATAATTCTTTTTCAAGCATCCTTGCTACTAATTGGAAAAAGCACTGAAATGGGACACACACAAAAAAAGAGAAATTAATAAGATGTAACTACAATAAGCTGGGTGTGGTACAGACAATAGTGGTTTCCAAATATTTTGGAGTCATGTGATTAGTTCTGGGCTGTGAGAAAAACTAACATTATCTTCCTAATCTACCAAAGAACCTTCAAAGCTACTAATGCAGATAGCATAGCTACAAGATAGTATCACAACTCATACCACAATGGACTTCTGTCATGTCAATCCATTGAGATTAGGAAACTATTTGTGATTCCAAGTATATCCTATTTTGACTAAAACATTGCCTATAAAAATGGCTTGGGGCCAGCCCCATGGAATAGTGACTGAGCCCTGTTCATAGGATGCTGTATCCCATATTCCCATATTGCTGACCGTAGTTTGAATCCTGTCCTCAAAAGCTTAAAAAACACTCCAGGTGTTAAAAAACAAACAAACAAAAAAACACTCCAGGTGTATGTGTGAGCATGCCCCAAATCTTGATGGGATGGAGGAAATAGAAGAAAAGAGGACTACAGCATGACTATGCCCCAACAGGGGGTGGTGCTTTTTCTCTTTCTGGTGAGTGTGCATGTCCTCTTGGGATGAAAAAAAGGAAGATGGCTTGGGTTGGGAAGGGGAAGAGAAATAAATAAGATATGTAGATAAGAAGTTGAATTCAAGTTCACTTTAAAGTTGATAGGACTTGCAGAAATATGATGTGAAAGTAAGCTCAGGAAAATCAATGATGATTTTATACATTTTTCCATTAATTTTGCTCCAGC